CATAGGTGGATGAGGAAGTTGACTTTAATGATGAGAGCACAGTGTGGCACAATGTCTTCTCAGCTGATAAGGAAGATGAAGCTCGCAATAGTTATCTGGCTGTTCAAGAAAAACCAGATGAGGAAGTACCAGTAGAAGAGCAATTTGTCTGCTCTGATGATTGGCTGAAACAACAACCCCCTAATCGTTAAGGCTTGGATTCACTGATGACTAACAAATGGAACAAAGTACATTTTATTCGAGTAAGTTTTCTAAGTTTTCATATAGACGCCATGTTCACAGATAATAACTATTATGTAAACCAGATTGTGAAAGGTCTTAAACATGTACTAATAATTTTGCTAAAGGTAAAGGTTACATACAACAATGACATTGTCATTGAAGCTTGAGCGATTTTGGCCTGTGTTTGTGTCCACCATCAGGGGTGAGACTAGCCTATTCCAAGGAGTGATACAGATACTTGTATAAGTTGGTATGAGTGATGGTTATTAGCTGGATTCTATATATTAATTCAATATTCTTTGGGAAAAATAGATATAGCTTATTGTAAAGAACAAAGAAATGAAGCAACTATAGCAATATTCAACGACTTTCTGGACTTTGTGTTGCCGATATTACAACATAAAAAGTTTGTTTGTTTGTTTTGAATTTCACGCAAAGCTACACGAGGGCTATCTGCGCTAGCCATCCCTAATTTAGCAGTGTAAGACTAGAGGGAAGGCAGCTAGTCATCACCACCCACCGCCAACTCTTGGGCTTCTCTTTTACCAACGAATAGTGGGATTGAACGTCACATTATAACGCCCCCACGGCTGAAAGGGCGAGCACGTTTGGTGTGACGGGGATTCGAACCCGCGATCATCAGATTGTGAGTCGAGTGCCCTAACCACCTGGCCATGCCGGGCCAGACAGAGAAAGTAAAGAAACAAAAATTTTTTAAACGTTTGTACATTGCTAAAGCAGATATAAAACGTATAGTGTGCCTGCATAGGAAGTTGGCACTGAAACATTTAAAACTACTATATTTAAACCTTTTATAACAACAAAAGAATATACATATAATATAAGCTACGATCTGTTAAGAACGCCCCCTTTGTGGGTAACATTCGACTCTCTGTTGGTAACGCTCAAGTTAGCACAGTGGTTTGTCTCAAACGGAAGTTCTGAGTCCAAATTCCAGTCGAATGGGGTTTTTTTATAACTTTTTAATTAGTAATTCATCATGGTTAAATAAATATATTACAATATTAAGAAAAAAACACAATAACGTGATACTTTATGCTAGAGATTTGAATTATATGTTAACATTTGACTACCTAGACTAGGTATCATATTGGTTATATCGCTTGACTGGTATGTGAAAGTATTGATTTCAAATTCCAATGGACTTGGGGTTTTATGTTAATTTATATTAATATTATGCTTATTTCTTTATATATTTATTGTTATATTTACAAAAACTCTTTAAATATTCCGAAACATACAAATAAAATTATAAATCAAATAAGGAATAATATCATATTGTTGC